CGCCTCCAGCTGCGGTGGTCCAAGGGGCTGATGCTGATGGATCCGGCTTGACAGAACAAGGTTATCCGCCAGGAGAGAGTCCGTCCATTTTCTTCATCCGCTTCAGTAGCAGCAGCTCCCCGCACGCTCGCCGCTCGCCGCTCGCTCGCACCAGGGAGCGCGTCTCACGGCAGAGGCGCAGGACGAGTCCAGGTTGCCGCGCCCAACAGAATACGGGATGCGACCGACTCCTGCAGCTGGCTGGGATGCAGAAGCAGATACGCAAATGATGGTGAAATAATGTCGTCTGGAGGAAACATCGTCTTTCTGGCACTTTGCTAATACGAGGAACGCAAAGAATAGAGGAGGAGGTTTTTATTTGCCGCACAACACCGGGGTTGATGGAACAGGAAAAGTCATTTGCATGGATCTAATTAACCTTTACTGATCATTCGCGTGTGAACTTTTACCTTAATGTGAATCTGGGAAAATAGTGTGTGTTCTTTGCAATGCACCACATTAGAGTGTTTTTCTAACATCTTCAGCACACTGAAGCAGTGAAGATGCAGATGCTGCTGCTTTTAAGAACGATCTTTTTCATTGCAGGATGTCCACATGTTTTGTTGCACGGAGAAAACCGTAATGCACACACCAAAGAACCAGTTACTCTTAGGAGCCTTCGTGATGCCAAACCCAGTGCCACACACCATGAGAGGCATCGAGCCGCAGGTACACCTGCCTTTAACATCAAACAGACTTCAGAAGACAACAGCAACTTGTCTTCACATCTCTGGCTGCTTTTGGAGAGCGGAGGTAAGCGGTGTGGATACAGACATCTCTTGTTGAACAGAACACACACAGTCACGGAGAGTGGCAGAAACCTGCATAAGCGCTTGCGGCGACATAAAAAGAAAAAGTTGAATGCTGAGATGCCTGCTACCATGGGAACAGTAAGTGGACACAATAACTCTAAGCCGTATTCAACAAGCAAGCGAGGAAGAAACCACAGACGCAAAAGAGGCACAAAGGAACACCACAAGAAAGTGTTTAAGAGCTTGAAAAGGGGCCAGAATAAAAGCGCTGTCCCATTGACACCAGTCGAAACTTATTATAACGCCCTGACATCCTCTTTATCGCTGTGGGAACCGATGCCTAAGCCTCTAGCTCTCACCTCCACAGATTTCCCATTCGACCTCACCAGATATGCTGAGTTCCACACCAAACAGATAGACGACCCATGGGACGCCACGCCAATGACACCTCCATACGCCGAGGATGAGGAGAGCGAATTCTTCCCCAATCCTTTCTACCCTGTCACTAGCGAGACGTATGGGGCATATGCAATCACCATTTTTGCCGTCCTCATTTTTGCTGTTGGAATAACTGGGAACATAGCAATAATGTGTGTGGTGTGTCATAACTACTACATGAGGAGCATCTCAAATGCTCTTCTGGCCAACCTGGCAATTTGGGACTTTGCACTGCTCTTGTTTTGCCTGCCACTCGTGGTGTTTCACGAACTCACTAAGACCTGGCTGTTGGGCCAGTTCACCTGTAAAGTCATACCCTATATTGAGGTAATGGATTCCATGTTCATTCATAACAGGTTTTAAATGTTTGTTTACATATGATTATGTGGGATAGGTGCAAATCATTGCTTTTAATAATGGCATTTAAGCTTAATTAGAATAAACCTCTAACACTAACTTTACATTTTGGCACTTAAAAGGATTTTTCACCCAAAAAT